ACTTGGCAAGAGGAAATTGTAAGAAAGCAGGAAAATAAAAAGCTTTAACACCTAAAATAACCCATGTTAGTCTCCTCGTAAAAGAGGAGATATCTAGGAGAAGATGACAGGCATCCGTAAAACTGCTAGTGGTTTTAGTGGTGCAGTTTGGAAAAAAAAAAAAAAGACAACTCCTATCAGCAGCGAAGGAAACTAGATTCCGTGTAACAGGGAATCTTTTAGTGGAAGCAAATCAAGGAGCCTGTGTTCGTGCTGCAGCTTTTTAAATAGTCCAACTAGAAGGGGGCGGTTTATATACAGAAATACAGCACTCAGGCAGGTCCGAAGCGGGGAGAGGGCAGCAAGAACAAGAACAATTATCCAAAAAGGATGTGTTTATAGTAAAAATGTGTCTGGTGATTGAAGAGAAAGGGATGGGGGGAGAGAAACAGAAAGGAATAATCTGAAAGGTAAGTACAGTCCATAGCAGCAAATAGGTATCCTTACCTGTTAAGTGAGTGTCAGGGAGACTGGGAGAGTGTTCAGTTCCTAAATACTGATTAAGGACAGTGCTCCTCTACATCTCAAAGGAAAAGCAAAACTTCAAAGCTCTACATTGCATAGTAAGCAGTAAAAGAAACTTGGTACTTGCAGACAGGCCACCTGCCCCTTGAAACCTGTTTTCTCCCTTCATTTACCCTTCAGCTACCGGCAACAGCAGAACGCGGCGTTTCCATTTTCCATTTGCACGATCAGCTTGTATCCCTGACTTGAATTTGAAAGGCTTGAAAAATGAGTTCTGCCAACATCACGTGTCCACACCCTTGGAACAGTGTCAACATTGGCTGAACGTGAAGAACCCAGCGGAGTTTGCCCCATCCCGTCTCGAGGCAGATGACCTCCTGAAGTTACCACCCAAATCCATGACACGGTCTGGTCATGCTGGTGGCTGGAAAACAGCACAAACCATAGAATTTCAGGAGCCTCTGACACTGGAAGGGCTCAGGCAGCACTGGTTAAGCCCAGCCTGGTTTAACCCCACCAGCACCTTCCGCTCCCAATGACAACCAAGCTGAAGGTTTTTGTCTCAAAGTACTCGCGACACGTAACAGAGTCTGTTTGTAACGTGGGCCTGGAGCGGCGCGGGGTTTCTCGGGGTTCCTTGCTCCGGGTTTTATTTGGGGAGGGAGGGGGTGTCGCCTCCCTTCCCCCCAACAAATGCACTGTTTTAGTAACACATTCACTCGATCCAGATTTTGTACAACATGGCAACTTTTGTTTAGCATTTCAACGTGCCCTTACTCCAAGAGTGTAAACACACATCAACTTCTGGTCCCGCATCTTTTTGAAGCAAAAAAAACCACAATTAAAAGCTGCAAATATAAACAGCATAGGGATACTCAATCCCAAACACTGCATACGTATCTTTAAGGTTGTTATTTTCAAGTGTTGTGTAATTAAACAATGTGTTCATACAGCTGTCAGGCAAATCATGATCTCCAAGCTTTTATTACATGCCTAGAAACTCCTCTGTCAAAGTCTTTTCTACTGCCAGATACTAAATACAAAAAATAGGCTGCTCACTTAAGAGTTTGTTGGGTTTTTTTTATGTAACACATTCTAATTCTGATTGGCTTAACTGAAGCAGATGCCTCTCTATTTCTACAATGGGCTGTTTTAAAAAATTAAACAGAAAAAAAAAAATAAAAATCCTTCCAGCGTAGAAGTATGCCCAAACTGAGAAGTACTGCACTGGTATCGCTCCAAGCAAATCCTCACTTCTAAATATTTTTCTTTTGAATTTCTTGCTTGTACATGACATCAAAGCCATGAGACAGCTTTAAATCTAACGGGGGATATCTGCTGTTTGGCACCTTGGCACAGGTGTCTGCCACTCTCACTCCTACCTCTTGCTGCGACACAGTAACACGTGCTGCAGCACTGGTTGAAAGGCTCCTCTCCAGCAAACATCATCAGCGCAGTGACCACGCACACGCAGCTGCTTGAGCAGCACTGGCTCCACTCAGCAAAACTGGTTTCGTTGGCAAGTTTACCAGATTTTTCATCTCCAACTGCGCCTGCAGCACCCTTCACGCCTCTGTCGCTGAAAACGCTCGGTCATTAAACGCTCCTGGGAGAGAAGCACGCATAAAAGGCTCTGTGTGTAAGATGACATGATTTAATTCAGCCTCCTGCACGACTCAACTCTGTTTAAAACAGTGGGGTTCAAATTTGGGAGTTAAGCTGCTCTTGCCTAGTCAGGTGGATGCTGACCGATCCCCCTAACTCTGAAAAGATCATTATCTTTTGCATTATTCAGACCCAAAATACGCCAGCTCTCCATCCCTGCACCCAGAGCTACCACTGCCAGCCTGGTCCAGGTCCATGTCAGATATACTGCTCAGCTAAAAAGAATCCTGCATCTGCACAGAAGTGATGAACGATGCACAGAGTCCGTAGCAGGACTGCATTCCCAGCTACCTTATCAAACGTGCCACACAGCACATAGAAAGGGTAGTGCACACCGAAGGAACACTTCTTCTCCAACTGTTCCAACAGAATGGTCCTTGCTCAGTCCAACACATGGGACACTGCCCACTGGAGCTCCTTCCTTCTTATCAGCTCATTACTCGACTCCAGACAGCACCACTTAGGTGCTATAGCACTGACCGACTCTTCCACTGGCCAACAGAATTCCATGGGGAAACCCAATGTTTGCCAGACCAAGTATGTCCCATGAACCGTAGGACTCACAAAAGCGTTGGGATGAACACTGCAGTCATAGGCAACTTGGCAAAGGAAGGAAAATGGTGCTCGTGCCTCGTGGTTCCTTTGGCCTCTAATTTTCTTACGCCTTGTGCATACTTTCGCAACCCCCAGTTCCCTGAAGAGCTAACAGACATTTATCATTTCCCCTCTTTTCTTCCCACGTGTATGTACACACTACGGAGAGTCAAGATCTTTACCAGCTGAGAAGGGCTAAGACCTTACTCCACCTTTTTTAAACTAGGAGTTTGTTTAAACGTTTGAGGGAAAGCGCTCTCTGCATCATCAACTTGACTGAGTGCGGACTGTGATAACTCCGACTCAGTCCCAATACTCAACGTGAAGAAAAAACACAACATCCAAGTCCTTTCCTTTGACATCCAGACATTAAAAAAACGTGGTAACCCTGTATGATGTAAAAACAAACCAAAACAAAACATAAGACTAACTGAAAATTTCACTTGTCCTTTGAGAGGATTATAAAGAGCAATGACATTGATCTGCAAAGGAGCCAAACACATTCCATGCTTTCTTTAAGCTTCAAATGAAACCAAGGACTGTCTTCATTACAAATCCTACATGGCAGGTGTTCTGCAAGCAGCCTCTCTATCTAACATTAGTGTAGCCAAACCTAAGTTAAGGACGAACACCACGGCATGACCATTGTTCCCCATGCAATGCTCCATGTTTCCATTTCTAAACAAGGAGCAGTGAAAGAAGCACACAATGCCAGTTTCTATCTCAATACTTGCTTTTCTCAATTGTTCTCAAGCCTGTTCAGGAAAGGAAAAGAAAAAAAAAAAAAAAAAAAAAAAAAAAAAAAAAAAAAAAAGGCAACCAAAAAATAAAAGAGAAAAAAAGTACAGAAGAGGTACCAAAACATTAAATTGCTTCTCCAGGAAGCAGTTGAAGCAGACTAAGAAATTTAACTCCATTGAAGAGAACACAATTCTTAGAATAACCTCCAGATGCTACCAAAATCCCTAATTTTAACTCAGAGGTAGTGATTCTAGTCTCCCGAAAGAGTAAAAGTTTCCTGCTGTGCCTAGATGTTTATCAGCTGGCTAGACTCATGGCCACTTACAGATTTTGCAGGCTGCTGCACAGTTTTTTCCACTTGACTCAGCAGTTTCAGTCAAGCAAAGGTGCACAAAACGTGAGCTCAACTTTTCTGTCTCATGCTAACCGTTGCTTCTCCTGTAAATTTTACAAGTTCCTGAGTCAGTCTAGTGAAGGTCTTGGTGTTTTTCAGGTCTAGAAATGGTGTTTTGTGCAGAGTCACACTCTAGGAAAGCAACATGAACCACCTAGTGCACTGCATTTGGCAACGAGGGATATCGGGGGGTAGCACACTGCAGAACCTCACATGGATTTCTGGGAATCCAAAATAACACGGCCTTGACAAGATCCCTAACGGGCTTCTGCAACGGGAAGCCTGACTGACAGCGCTGTAGCAGAAATTTTCAAGTCATGGTCTGTGGGTCACCCCAGAGGTGAACTTCTCACAGGCGATTCTCGATCCTGGTTTGAGAAAACACAAGGCTAGAGAGGCACGGTCACTAACCCAGGTGGGGGAAGGCCACATTTTGATCAGATCTCCTCAGAAACAGAAGATGCACTTGCTAAATTACAAATCTCTGTAAATTCACCAGTATGTTTCTATTAATTTTCCCGACTGCTGCAGTTCCTTGGAGATGGGACGCAGTTTTAAACGGGGGAGAACGCCGTCACGCTAACATAAACCCCAAGTGGTCCGTGAAATTACATTCCCACCAAGCTATATTTCCTACCACAGAAACCACCAGAGCTCCTCCACAGAGCCAAGCTTTTTATTCACAACTTAGAAACATCACTTAACGAGTTATTTTTCATGCCAGATTTTTCTTAGTACCACCTCCACTGCATTTTTTGATGTTATTTTCCCTAGTTTTATTTGTGCAAACTAACCACTCACTTGGCAAGTTCTAGGAAACTTACAAGAAGTGACTGACCTAAGTTGATGCTTCCCTTTTACAAAGATAAAATCAACTATGAAAAGCCAAAACCAAGGGCAACAGTCGTGTAACTACTTGCTAAGCACAGGTAGTTTGTCATTTTGACACCACCCTCACGATTCGCTTCAGTGACTCTAACTTCACCATCACTTTTCTTTATAAGAAATATCTAGTTTTGAAAAACTCTATATTAATCTCTAGAAAAATACGACAAGTATTTGTATTAAAAGCTGGAGATCATTGATTTCAGTAAGTTATGGCTTTTTTTAGTGTAAGCATATATATTTTTTTCTAAAAGAACTATCAGTAAGTGTCCTGGGTGTTAGTTCGTATTTTCTGTTTCCAGCAATGTTCAGTATTTTATGTGCTTTGCACCTCAGAAGCGAGTCTGCCAAGGCACTTAGAGAATGTAAGCAAGTCTTTTAGGGACTTCATGAGAATGAGCTACCACTGACACAATACAAGAACCCATCCACCAGCAGAGTCAATCTCCAGACCAAGCATGTTTCCTTTATAAACACTCAGCACCTGCTAAAATCCCACAATGAATAACAATCAAAAAAAAAAAAAAAAGCTATTTAACCACTTGTCACTAACAGAGAAAAGATTTCCCCTAATAATTAAAAGCACAGAAAGTAGATCTTGGCTGTCATTAGCAACAGCACAGGTTTTTGTTTTGTTTTTTTTTTAAAAAAAAAAACAAATGAACAAAAAACAAATACCACACGCTTGCTTAAAGAAACAAGTGACTTGAAGAAATGCTCTTCCTTTTATCTGTCCTTAGAGGTGAGTTTTTCAATCAGTTCTTGAAGCGGTGCAAGTTCTCTTCTATCAATAAGGTTGAATTCCTGTAACGAGGACAAGGAGAAAAGAGTTTTACACGTGCAGCTCAGGTGAGAAGTCTTATTCAGACACAAGTTTTTTGGTAGTAGGCTCTTCAAATCCCTTCTTAGCCACTACTACTAGCACTTTCTGCCTGTCTGCCATTAGCTGAACAGCAGCCTTCGACTGCCTAAAGTTTTCTCCCCCACTTAAAGGAAGGAAACCTAACAAGATGCTCCTCTTTTTTTTAAAATCAAGGAGAGAGGGGGAATGTAGCTTTGAACCAAGCACATTCTTTCCGATCAAGGTTCAGACGCCACCCTCCCTGTCTCTTTTGTTAGGAATTACTGCAGGAAACACTCCTTGGTCATCAATTTTGTAGCAAACAAATACTTCTTTGAAAACTTTTCAATTCCTTGAGTGCTTCTAGTAGTAAACATACATACAAAGGGACCAAGATGCTATCTTACCATCCTGGAGGTGTTGACTCTGCTACAAACACATCAACTGTTCAGCAACTGCAGGGGCATTGCTTTGCTACATTAATTTTTCCAGAATATGATAGGAATCACAATGCTCTTGCCACGCTTACCTGAACGAAAAATATAAAGTGCTTGAAAGAAGTGTTAAGGTGTGCCTCCTCCTGTAGCTGGATCACTGGATCAAAGTGCTGGTGATAAATGTGAGCGTAAACTCTGAAGAGACGCTTTAAAATTGTCTTTGCCACTGACATGAAATTCTTTGGGAACGGTACACCTAGAAATAAGATAACGTACGGCTTATTTTAAAATGCCCAGGTCACACTCATGCATTTTGAAAGCCATTACACCCCGACCTTCTCTCTTGCACAAGAAGGGCTGTATCTAATGTGCTTACAGACGGGTTCTCAGTACCTGCCGGGCCTCTGACTGCCAATGCAGAAAGGGGGAAGCCTCCTCCAGGCTCCAATTCTCACCAATGGCTCTGTGCACACATCTAAAATACCACAGCCTACTCCAAGGGACCAGATACCTCTGTGTAGCTAACTCAAACCACCTCTGGTATCGGCCATCGAGTTTATGCTTCTCTTGATTAAAGTGGAATCAGAAAGAAGCTCTGTTCCACCTGTCTCGTGCGCAGCAAAAAGCCTCCTGTTTCCATCCTGCTCCTCACCATCCCTTAGCCAGAGGCTACTGCTTTCTTAAGTACTCTGAAACACGCTCCTTGCAGTCATTTCAGTCAAAATGACCCAGGAGAGGTAAATTCAGTTTCAACTGCAGATCTTTGTCAGTGCACAAGTTTGATGAAAATTGGTTAGAAAAGAGCAACCGGCTACTGGGAGCAATAATCTATTCAGCTGACACATCTGCAGGCTAAAAAAAAGATACTATCAACCATCTAAAAAGATCAAACCTCTCTACCTTCTCACCACCTAACAATCATCTAAAAAGATTAAACCTCTCTAGCTTCTCATCACCTAAGAGTTTTCTCAGTCAGCTTAGTTCTTTTGCAGTCTTTCCACCTGCTCAAGACCCATCTGAAGGCCAGAGGTCCAAGCTGGATGCGGTAGGGCAATCTCCATCTCACCTATCAACCCTGTAAAATCCTAGCAATAAAATTTTCATACTCCTACTTAAGCTTGCCCTGCTTAAATGTACATCACATTTCCTTCATTGGCTGCCAATTCGCATGGGAAGTTTATATTTAGGTTATCCATTGTGGCCTTTAAGTCTTTCTGAATGGCTACCTTTCAAAAATACATCTTATTAAAAGAAAAACAAAGTCTTCAGCAAAGTATATGCTGCAGTTGAAGAAAGATCAAGTCCTGATGTAGTCTTCTGAACACAAGTTTAATATCAAACTGTAACTATTGAACACGATTCCTGTTAGTACTGGACATCTATCCCAGCTCTGAGCTCTAAAACGAATGCCACAGCATGTGAAGAAACCACACCGACAATCTACTGAGCAGGAAGATTTACCTTTTTGTCACCTTTTCCCAAACTAACCAGCTTTCTCTGCCTATCTGCTTAACTGGGAGTCAAACCAAATGCCACTTGGTTCCGACAGGCAGCCCCTCTTTCTCTCAAGACGCTTAGTGAAAAAGTGTCAAATGCTTCACAAACTATTCACAAAATTAAAAGCAATTAAAAGGCCTCCCTTCCTTTTTTCACAAGGGATCATAAGCCTATGAGCAGCAGTGTACTGGAAAACTGCCATTTAGAAGCTTTAGAATAAATACTCCCTCGTGCCTATAGAAACTGGGTTTTCTTCTTGTTATCGTTACCGAACTGGTGGTGGTTCATTATTTTCCTCCTGCTTTTCTCAACAAAACCTCTTAAAAACATGCCTTTCATTTTCACTTCAAAAGCAAAAAAAAAAAAAAAAATTAACTTAAAATCAAAGATGCAATTCAGTTTCTTAACGGCCTAAGAGAAGTTGCTCATGAGGATCAAACATCTCTCCTGCATCAAAAAGCTGCCAGTTTGTACTAATTACCAGTTTAATTATAAGGTTTTCAGACCCTCTGCCTTATTTCTAAGGAAACAACCCTCTGTTTAAAACAAACAAAAAAACCATTTGGTTGGATCGACACAGACATTTATTCAATAGAACCATGACTTCCTGCGTTCAGAATTGTGATAGATGTTTATTAGGAGGACTGACACGTGGATCAGAGTTCATGTACTACCACATCAATTTTATCTTAGGAGATTCAAGTGTCTTTGTATAAATAACGTAACCTTTTAAAGTCGCCCTACTCGTCAGTAATTTAGAAGAATGTGTAATGCTCCAAGACTTGAATGTTCCTGCACAACCGTAATGCAAACACATTGTTCAACTTCCCTTATTTACTTTACCTATTTTAGAAGGAAACAGCGTTTCGTCATCCAGCTGATCCTGGACCCACGTCATCAGGTAATCAATGTACTTTGGTGCAGAGCACTTAATTGGTTTCTTGATGTTTGTCCCATCTGCCCAGTGGTACTCGTATCTGGGTTGGGAGGACAACAAGACATTTCTTAACACAAGTGAATCATTCATATCAAGGCCTGCAAGGTTGCTCTTCCTGCTCTTCTCCCCATACTCCCACACCCTCCCAGAGTCCTTCCTTGAAACTAAGGTCCAAACACTCCTGAGTCATCTGCAGCTGCTCTGTACCCAGCCTCCCCTCTGCAATCCTGCTTTAGCTGGACTCTCCTCTGCAGTCTCTGGAGGCCTTGAAAAACCTCAGCCTTTAGAGCACGACCCATTCATCCTCGTTAGCAAAGCTTCTGCAAAACGCACAGAGCAGCCTGCGGTCAAACCTGCATCCCTCTACATCAGCAAGTGCTCAATGAGTAGGTTTCCAAACCCTGAAAGGCCAAGAGCTGCTTATTATTTTTTAAAGCAGATTTTCCCCCCCCCTCTCCGAAAGAAAAACATTTCAGCCTGTTGAATTCAAACATCAAAAACTTAATGAGATTCTCCCAGAAATAAAATCAAAGCTCCAAGGCTCAGATCGGTGAAGGACCCTGACTGGTGTCTAATGCGACGTTTCACCCCATCAGCCCTAGCAACGGGCTTCTCGTCACCTCCACTGGCAGAGAACTGCAATGCAAGTGGCAATGCTCAACATTTCCAATAGCTGCCAGCCAGCCACGTTAGACCCCTAAAATTTATGGAATTTCTTTACATTCGAAAATATTCTTATAGGTTTTGTGAAACTGAAGACCAAACTCCACTGGCTCTTGCCAGACATCCCAAACGATGATTGTCTGAGAGACACAGAAGAGATTCAGAGGTAGGTTAATGCCAAAGAGGACTATTACAAAACCATAAGCTGCTATAAAGTGTTTTCAGCTAATCGCTGGAAGAAAGCTTCTCGACTAAAGACCCCTCCTTAGAAAAGGTTCATATCTGAAGGTCTAGTGCCACCATGCAGCTCGCCAAGATGCAGAAGCATCTCAGTTTCTAGGTTTACCACTGAGCCACTTGATAGTTGCAGGCCAGTAACTGTCTTTTAGCTTATTTCTTCCACTTGTAGATAAGGTGAATCACAACTTTACAACCCCGATGTGAATATCGAAGAGCAGAATGTGTGCTCTTTTGACCCTTTTGGCTTCACAGAGCTAGTCATGTTGACATCTTATGCAGCACCTTTAACGAGCAGATTCCACTGTCACTGAGTTTACTGGTAACATTTTAACTTCAGGGTTTGAAAAAGCCAAGGAAAAAGGTATTAAACAGCACCCATTAACACGCACAACCAGACACAAAGAAGTCTTTAGGAAACTAGAACTGAACACATCTTTTGACTGACTTGGGGAATGCATTGACTCAAGTCTGGACACAGGAAAAGATGGCTAATCTTGGGAATGTACAGCTTAAAAAAACCAAACAGGTTTAACACTGGGAGCTTGATGTTACTGGCTTTCAAGTGAACCCCAGTTCTGTGTCTCGCTGAGTACAAATGCATCTACCTTAATATTCCTTGCCACTTCCTAACATCTGAGCAGTTTCTCCTCATCGGCACAGAGCCCTGCACGGCATTCTCTTTTAGTTCTGAACACAGCAGCAACTCCCCCGTCGGTTTTTCACCAGCCAGCCTTGCTCGGCCAGCCAGCGCTGCTGCAGAAGGGCTAGTCATGGGCAAGCCAGCTGCCAAGCCTGAAGCCAGAAGGAGTGCTGAGCTCTGCAGCTCCGAAATCCTCCCAGAGACACAAATGAACCATGATTCAGGCTAGCTGCAACACTCCTCTTGTAAAACAACAAAATTTAAAAAAAACAAAGAAACAAAACATGCAAGGACGGTGACTTAAGCTCAGTCGTGCTTTTGCAGGAAACACACCCACTTCACCTACAAGTTTTATCACAAATCTTTCCAAAAGAATTAGAAGAGATGTTATTAATGGCTAATATTTCTTCTTTTCATGCTCAATTTCATTGTTACTTCTTAGTAGAGTAGCAGCATACCACAACGTTTGGGCTGCAACCACTTTTTAAACCTTCCCTCGCTACCTCCAATTAGTACCGAGCCAACACGGAAGGTCGTCTATTTTAAAGACCAAACACATCATTTTATGCAAAGTTTAACTGTACCTGATAAATCTGGCTTCTAAGTTTGTTTAACAAATTCAGTTTCGTCAGAGCAGTAACAGGGAGAACATGTTCACAATCAACACATTTTACAAGTGATTACAAGCGTGCTGCTCACGATGGTATATAAAGATCTCGTTTTTATAACAGAAACTAATCAGGGGGTCTGAAAGCATTATCAAATTTCATCTCGAAACACATGCCAAAATTCCATACATGCTGAATGGATCACAAGATGTCTGGATTTTTCCTCAGCACCCTGTACTACCCTGACACTGAGATTTTTAAGTCATACTAACATAGGACAAACATCGACACTTAGCTGAGGTGCTGGGTTGTCTGGAGACAGTGTAAGACAACAAACTAAATTATATTCTAAAAATCTCATGCAAGTAAAATATAACCACAGGAAGCCTCCATCCCTCCCTTTCCACCCCCCAATACTGTGGGTTAATTCTGTACTTTTTTAGACAAAAGAATGCCATAGAATGACCCTTTAAGTAACGCTTACTCTTAAGAAACAGCAGATATATCCTGAAAAAAATAAAGTTATATAGAGAATCTGAAACCATTGTGGCAAACACCCCATGCTCCAGTGAACTTAACGTTCATGGTTGCTCCTAGGCTGTAAGAAAGCTTGGAGTTTGCAAGACAGGGGGAAATGAACTCTTCCTACAAGATTAAACACATCAATGAAAACAAGAATCCCAGCCCAGCTTCTTAAACAAAAACAGAAAACCAAAACACACACGAAAAATTCCCACATGTTACAAGCACTGCAACAGCTACAGGAAATTAAGGGTAAAATAACATCTCTAGCTTGAGCTTGCGAGCACACACCTACAGCTCTGGTGATAGAAACAAACTCATCTTATCATGATAGGCAGTTCCTCTACACAAAATACAGGTTTTTGAAACCTCTACAGTTTAGTAGAGACATCTATAAACAGAACACCCAACCAGAAACAACTCATCTTATCATGATAGGCGGTTCCTCTACACAAAATACAGGTTTTGGAAACCTCTACAGTTTAGTACAGACATCTATAAACAGAACACCCAACCAGAAAATACCCCTAAGGATAAGCAATCCCAGGAGCAGCTCCTCTACTGTGCAATTGCACGTACATGGCCTAAAAAATAATTAAAAAAAACCTCCAATAAAATAAAACCCAGCTCAACTCAAGTTAAAGCAGTTACCTTGTCCAACAGCAATAAAATGCAGTGGCTCAGTAACACCTTCTACAAGATTCTCGGACACTTATAGAATCATGGAATGGTTTGGGTTGGAAGAGACCTCAAAGATCATCCAGTTCCAAACCCCCTGCCATGGGCAGGGACACCCTCCACTACACCAGGTTGCCCAAAGCCTCATCCAACCCGGCCTTGAACACTGCCAGGGATGGGGCATCCACAGCTTCTCTGGGCCACCTGTTCCAGTGCCTCACCACCCTCAGAGGGAAGAATTTCTTCCTTATATCCAATCTAAATCTCCCCTCTTCCAGTTTAAAGCCATTGCCTCTTGTCCTATCACTCCATGCCCTTGTCAAAAGCCCCTCTCCAGCTTTCTTGTAACCCCTTTAGGTACTGGAAGGCTGCTGGAAGGTCTCCCTGGAGCCTTCTCTTCTCCAGGCTGAACAGCCCCAACTCTCTCAGCCTGTCTCCATAGCAGAGGTGCTCCAGCCCTCAGATCATCTTCATGGCCTCCTCTGGACCCGCTCCAGCAGCTCCAAGTCCTTCTTGTGTTGGGGACTGCAGAGCTGAACGCAGTATTCCAGTATTATACGGACCTCTCATCTCTAGCTCTCAGCACAACTCTACTACATCAAGCCTGCTGAGAAATACTTAATTCTGTCTTGTCCCTCAGTCATCAAGTGACACAAGCACAGAGTGCAGCACTATAAAAAGGCAAAAGGATGGATTCTGTTAAGAGATACAGGGTACTTCACGGACCTGATTACATGATTTTTTTCTTTTTCCTGCAGAAGGCAGGATGTGAATATTCAATTACACCCTATTACACCCACGTAGGATTTATGGGAGCTGTCCTCTTTGGAGTGCACGGCTATTCTGATTTGAACACATGACGACAGAAGCAGGGTGGACAAACGAACCTCAGGAAAATGGGAATGATCTCACTGCCACTACAGGTGAGCTTAGTGTACTCACACAAATGCCTAAATACGGATTTTAGAGCCTCAGTTCAGAATGAAGTTTTGAAAAATGCAGTAGCCAGGTCCCTCCTTTGTGTTTTTCCTGAAGACTTACAACCAGGAAGGAAAACACAGAATATTCGCCTCATCTAATGCTGGTTAAAATAAACCTATTACTTCTGTGCAAGTTCTAAACTTCTTATCATGCCCATTGCACTGATGGTGATACTGCAACTGATAGAAGAATAGCACGTGACAGCCAGCTATGGTTTGTCTGGGGCAGAAACAGTCATTGCTGAAGTGAAAAGAATGGAACATTACTGTGAGTAATCACAGAATGTTGGGGATTGGAAGGGACCTCAAAGGATCATCTAGTCCAATCCCCCTGCCGGAGCAGGACCACCTAGATCAGATCACACAAGAACGCGTCCAGTCAGGTTTGGAACATCTCCAGAGAAGGAGACTCCACAAATTCTCTGGGCAGCCTGTTCCAGTGTTCTGGTACCCTTACTGGGAAGAAGTTCTTCCTCGTGTTTAAGCGGAACCTCCTCTGTTCCAGCTTAGATCCATTTCCCCTTGTCCTATCATTGGATGCCACTGAGAAGAGCCTGGCTCCATCCTCATGCCAGTCACCCTTTCCATATTTATAAACATTAATGAGGTCCCCCCTCAGTTTCCTCTTCTCCAAGCTAAAGAGACCCAGCTCCCTCAGCCTTTCCTCCTAAGGGAGATGCTCCACTCCCTTCATCATCTTTGTGGCCCTGCGCTGGACTCTCTCAAGCAGTTCCTTGTCCTTCTTGAATTGAGGGGCCCGGAACTGGACACAATATTCCAGATGCGGTCTCACCAGGGCAGAGTAGGGGGGAGGAGAACCTCTCTCAACCTACTAACCACACCCCTTCTAATACACCCAGGGTGCCATTGGCCTTCTTGGCCACCAGGGCACATCACTGGCTCATGGCCATCCTGCTGTCCACCAGGACCCCCAGGCCCCTTTCCCCTGTGCCGCTCCCCAACAGTTCAGTCCCCAACTTGTACTGGTACACGGGGTTATTCTTACCCAGATGCAAGACTCTACACTTGCCCTTGTTGTATTTCATTAAATTTCTCTCCGCCCAACTCTCCAGCCTGCCCAGGTCTCTCTGAATGGCAGCACAGCCTTCAGGTGTGTCAGCCACTCCTCCCAGTTTAGTGTCATCAGCAAACTTGCTGACCATGCACTCTATTCCCTCATCCAAGTCATCGATGAATATGTTAAACAATAAATCCACTAATTATCATTATCCACTAAAACCACTGTCTCTGCTCCACTGCCGGGCACTGCCAGCCTCCCGCACTACCCACTCCTGCGCCTGCCCGGCCTCGGCCCCTCGCACGCACACGTGTCTGATCCTGCCACAAAACCCACTCCTGAGCACAGGCGAGGGCTGTGGAGATTGGGGAATGTTCTACAAACCCTAAGGACAAGATCAAGGAATTAAAACCTTGGCAAGAACGCACCTTCTAGCCTCCAGCATCCCTCTTCTACCCCGCTTTGTAACTACTCCAGTACAACATGAGTTCCTGTCCATGGTTATCGGTCTCTTTGGAGAGAAATAAATTGTTTAGTCTGGCAACCAGACAGCTAAGCCTTTAATGATTAACCTCCACCTCCAAGTAACTGCTTCTCAGGAGACAAACAATAAAACAAAAACATTTTCATGCTCTGATTTAATAAATAAGAGTCTGTTCTGTGCGCTGAAGCACAAAGCAGACAATGGGACACGTTATTGCACAAGCTTATCCCAAAGTTCTGCGGCATAATGGTTAACTTCTATTCCTTTTGTATTTCCACCCCTCCCCGCTTTGCAGCAGCAGGTCTGCCTGCCCACACTGGTTTTGGCACCCAGCAGTGTCCATTTTTAGTTTAAGAACGTAGTGCCAAAGCTGTTCTTGGTCTGCCTTGCCCTCCCAGCTGCACCCTTCTGCGAGTCCTCAGCTCTCCACCACACTGGCTGGCAACTACTGGCTTCAGACCATAACAACCAATGCCATTACTAAGGAGGAGGAAGTGGAAGAGAGGATTGTTTTCCTTTATTATTTATTGAAGCTATTTCAGTAATGTAAAAGGAAGCAGTGCCCTCCCTCACCACTGGCTCAGAAATGCAGTTTTTTTTCCTGTTTAGAACACACTATCAGCTGGGGAGCAAGCAAAAACACAAACGTGGGTGTCTGCACAAAAGCATAAGCAACAATCCAAGAAGTGAAACTTCACTGAGTGACAGGGTAGGGGACTCTTATTCAGACTACTCAAAACTGTAGCCAAGTTTATTTCTATAATACCTACTCAAACATCTAAAAGAGGGATTTTGGCAAGTCCTAACTGAATGCTGGCATAGAAAAACTTCAAATCTTAATTTAAGAAGCCATCATTAACACTAAAAAAAAAAAAAGCAAATAGTTTTGATAATCTGTTTACTTCTCAGCCTAAAGAACAAGAAAAAAAAAACAAACCCCAACCACTTTTCCATTGCCCACTCCCTTAACAAAGGTTCCAATTTTTTACCCTCCACAGGTGGCAAGAGAAAACACTCTTT